ATAACTTCTGTATTTTGCGCATTTGCTGAGCGGTACGGCGAGGCACTTGGTTCCCCGGTGCGCGGTCCCACTAGCGAAGAGGATTGGATCGAGCTCCTGAATCTGGAGGTGCTTTGAGCCTAGATGCAGGAAAGCAGTTCCATCTCGATTTCCTGCACCTGTTTACAAATACGTCCAGATTCAGCCATTCGATCCGATCCTCTTTGCTAGTGGGACCACCCCCCCGGTGCGCACACAGGTCGCAGAAGCTACCAGAGATGAGATCTGCGGACAGACATTCTCATTTTCTGTATATGGGACGCTGGACCTATTTTCCAGCAGGTGATGCTCCCCGCCAATAGATGGAGCCTCTCCCTAGGTGTTCGTGGTGTCTGCTCCTATCAGCAGCACTAACAATGGTGGGGGCATGTTTTTAAAAAAAGAAAAAACAAAAGAAAAAAAAAGAAAAAAAAAAAAGAAGGGAAAAAAAAAGAGATCTGCAGCTGCAACGGAATTATCGCCTTCCCAAAAAAAAAAAGAATTATCGCCTTCCAGCAGAACACACCTCCAGGTAAGAAGAAAGATTTATTGCCAGTCAGAAAAAAAAAAAGAAGAGATTTGCACGTTAATCAGTCTCGAGAGGGACAGATCGCTAATGCAAATACATTGATCGATTGATTGATTGATTGATTGATTGATTGATTGATTGATTGGTTGATTGATTGATTGATTTGTTGATTGGTTGATTGATTAAAAAACTGTTTGACAATTTACGAAGAGCATAAAAACGCGTCGCACTTGCAGAATTCCGAAATCCCACATTTTAGTTTTTTTTCTTTTTTTTTAATCCCACGTTTTTCGTGTCCAGTCACAGGGCAGGAGAAAATGTCTTTTCTCCAAAAAAAAAAAAAAAAAAAAAAAAAGGTTAAACCGCCAGATCTGCGTTCTGCGTACCTCTTTCGCGGTGCTCAGCTTCCTTACTCTTCCTCAATTTTAATCATGATTCCGTTGCGCGCCGTTTTTCCCCGCCGGGATTCTGTTACGCCAAGCTCTTCCGGGAAGTTCCGGCTCTCCTGTCCGTTTTGCAACCGTTAGCAAGAAGCGAGTTGGGCTCTCCTTTTTTTTTTTGGTTTTGTTCTTCTTTTCTCCACAGCTCAATAATAATAGTCTCTCTTGAAGTCCCAGTGGCACGATCTTGACTAGCATTGAATGTTGAGTCTCAACCTGGGGCCATAACCCCTCTCAAAAACTCACTAATCTCTCTCTCTCTCTCTCTCTCTCTCTCTCTCTCTCTCTCTCTCGTGGCAGAGTAGAAGAAGAAGAAGAAGAAGAAGAAGAAGAAAAAGAAGGAAGAAATCTCTCTCTCTCTCTCTCTCTCTCTCTCTCTCTCTCTCTCTCTCTCTCTCTCTCTCTGTGTGTGTGTGCGTGTGTGTGTGTGTGTGTGTGTGTGTGTGTTCTAACGGGAAACTAATCCCGGCGATGGGGACCAAAATAGCGCTCTGCTTCCCGGGAGTCTGCTGACAAGTGAAACTGAAACTCACCTGCTCCAAAATAGCACTGCTTCCCAGAAGCCAATTGACAAGTGTCGACACTCTGAGAAGTCTATCGGTCCGTATCCCTGGACCTTTTGATCTAGACTACAATCGATGGACCAAGATGTAGGCCCAAAGCCTAGTCCAGCAGTCCAGTGGCTGGGTCTAAAAACGGCCTGGCTCCCTGACAGACACAGCCAAGTCCAGCCCAAGTACAAACAAGAGCTCTCCCGGGTGTCAGAAATGGCCCAACGTTCCAAAAAAAAAAAAAGGAAAAAAGAAATGGCCCAACGTGACAACAAAAGAGGTACAGCAATCGCTTTTTTTTTTTTTTTTTTTTTTTTTTTTGTGTTGGGGAATCGCTTTGTTTTTGGTAGTCGGGGAGGTTGGTCCCCGCATCCTTCCGTAGTACCTGCCACGTGTATGGCTCCAAATTGAATCTAATTGGTCGGGGGCTGCACCTGCTGGAAACGTGGTCCAGTGTAGCAGGAATACAGAAGCCTGATGGCTACCAGAGCCGGCTTCGGCTAAGAGGCTCGCCACACAGGCTGCCAAAAACCCGGTTTTCGACAATTTTGCATCGCCACACAGACTTTCGAAGAATTGCGGCTCAAAAACCTTTCGACAGGTGTGAGGATGGCACTTTCTACAGCCTCCCTCCAGCAACCGTTTCGTCCAGCCTGCAGGTGACGGAAATTCGACAGGGGCCCGCCCACCTTTCGAAAAGCGCCTTTAATTTTCAATTGTCAGGGACTGCTCCCTGACAGCCATGGCCTGTTTGTCCGTATGTAGTCAACAGTGGCTGTCGAAAACGGCGTCTGCATCTGGTCTGCTTGCGCGCACAAATTCATCCATGTAACAACTCCTGATAGGCGACCACCTTTGCCACACAGCACCTGTCGAAAGGCTGAGTCGTCTTGGCAACTTTTGACAACCTCGCTCCCTCGACAGGCTATGTGGCGAAGGGGGGCGAAATTGTCGACCACCGGACTGTCGAAAATTTTGTGACACCTGTCGAAAATTTTCGACATTCGACAGCCTGTGGTGAGCCTCTAAATGTTTTTTTTTTTTGTCCACTCAGTGTCACACCTGTCTCTTATACACATCTAGATGTGTATAAGAGACAGCCACTTGGCGGCGCGCAGATCGCGCGCCCCCCCCCCCCCCCCCCTGAACTCGAACTTTTTTTTTTTTCCAAACAAATGATTCATTATAAATGCAGCATTGAGGCCGGGGGTTGTCGAGTTCAGAAAACTTCAGGGTGTGACACCATTTCGACATTAATAAATTTGAAACAAGACTGATCTGCTGGAGGGGCGGACTCCGGTTGGTTATGACGCAGGGCTCGTAGATCTCAGCTTCGGTTTGAGGTTTGGGAGTGGCCAGGACGTCACGGACACCGTTCTCGTGAACCCGGCTTCTGGCACCAACCACACAACGCCTTCGGTGGGGCCGTCGGGCCTTCCGGACACCCGCGCCCGGTGTTCTGGTCAGTCGGGCGACGAACGTGGGCTCCTTTCGCGAGGGCGGGGGGCAGTGGGCACAGCAGGTGTGGGCGCGTCGACGACGAGGACAGGTGGATCGACTACGCCAGCCGGCACAATCGATAGATGACAGGATGACGATGAGGGCTCCGCTGCGGAGGTCGTGGGGCGAAAGCTTTGGGATGATTATCGGCAACAATCGCGTCAATTGATCACGTCCGGCATAACGAGAGGGGTGGCGAAGATTAATGTAGGGGCGAACGATACACTGAGCGATTGCGATGGTGCTGCGGGTGAAGATTGCTCCGCAGGCGACGGGAGCAATGACAACGACGAGGACGACGACGGGAAGATGGAGATTCGTCCGGTAGGCAAGAAACGGGGAGGGCCAAGGGCCACAAACAAGTTAACTGAGCCGCGCGCGAGGCGGAGAGGCAAGAAGAGTGAGGGAGATACGTCGGCAGGCGAGGGAGCAAAAAGCAGGGATTTTTGGACCGTGGAACACATGATTGCTCTGATCTGAGCTAAAAGAGACCAGGATTTGCATCTGGCAGGCCTCGGCCACAACATCGGAAGGATGAAGACGAAGACATGGAAGTGGGCTGACGTCGAGAAGAGGCTCGTGCAGATGGGGGTGACGAGTAGAAAGGCCGAGGACTGCGGGATAAAATTGGACAACCTGTACATGCAGTTCAAAATCGTGCACAAGTTCATGGGAGAATCGGGGAAGCTTGATTTCTTCGCACTATCGCCGCGGGAGAGGAAGGAGCAGGGGTTCGATTTTGGGATGGACGAGCGTGTGTATTCGGAGATGAAGGCCATGTCCAGGGGCTATCACACTATAGACCCCGCGAATCTCGCGGACACGGGTGCGGCTGGAGGTGTTCAATTGCCCAGCCCACGTGGAGGTCGGAAAGAATCCGGCGGTAGTGACGAATGCGGGAATGGACAGGACGACGAACAGGGATCGACGAGCGATTCAACGTTCAGCGGCGGTGGTGCTGGCGGGTGTGGCAAACGGAAGAATGTAAGACAACAGACTTTCGACACCATTGTGGATGTCATGAAGGAGCACGAAAATCTGATGGCGAGGACGGTGGACAACGCGAGCAAGAGGCAGTGCTCAATTCTAACGAGGCAATGCGACATTCTCGAGCGAGAGCTAGAAGTGCAGAAGGACCACTACGTGAAGGCCGACCAGGCGAACTTCATGATGTGCAATGCCCTTCTGGAGATTGCTAAAGCGATCCACGAACGATCCTAACGTCGCTGGGCCGCGCATGTCCGATGTCCACGCGTTTGCCACGTGTGCACTTCCGGATCATCGGCGTTGCCGCCGTCCTGCGTGCTGCAGTGCGGTGGTGGGCAGGTTGTGTATAGACGGCGGGTCGTTTTTGCAAGCGCATTTTTTTTAAGCGTGGATTTGTTTGATGACTGTGAAGGGTGTTGATTGCTGTTATGCCCGCCGGCGCGTCTTTCGGTTTCACATTAGGACGTCCGAATTTGAATATTGTTTAAAGCCTGTTGTTGTGAGGCGTTGCTGCCACGCGTGAATGGCGATCTACCAAGGTCTTTATTAGGGGGGTGTCGAAGAAGGAATAGGTGGCGGGGTGTGTTTTTCGGGCGGGAGGGGAAAATGGAGGACATGGGTGCCTTGAGTTTTGGGGGTGGCGGACGAAGGATACGTGCCGGGCTCTTTCGACCTCCACCAGGATCCTCGTGCGCGCCCACACGCGTTGTTGGCCATGCGAGGTATCACCAGCAGCCTTGGGGAAAAAATGGTCTGTGTACGATCGGTGAAGGGGCGGGCTGCTGTGGACGGCGAGGCGTGTCCATGGTGTACCACGAGAGCGCATTATCTAGAAAAGGAGAGTCCGGACGACAGTCCGTACGGCAGTACTTCATTGCCTACGGCTCCAACGGTAGCGTATGTGCACTGATTCGTCGCCGCACGCCTGCACTTCCGCTTCTCCGCTCCACGCTCGGGCTCTGGGCTCCACGGGCAGTTCCCCTTCAAGCGCGGCAAGCACGTGCTTGTTTCTGCTCGCCATCATCGTCGCGGCTCCTGGCCACTGCCCATTCGGGCGCATTGTCCACGTGCTCCTTCGTCCACGTGGCCGTCGTCGACCTCCACGCGTCCACAGTCCACGTGCTCCTTCATCAACGATCTCCTTCGTCCACGTGCTCGTCGTTGCTGAGTTGCGGACGAGATGCCACCGAGGAACGCTTCAGGGAAGGGAAGGAAAGACAGCGGAGCAGGCGATGGTGGGGAAACCCAGAAAGGCAGAGGCCACGTGCCAAAGTCGAAAAGGCAGCGCGTGGATGACGCCAGCTCCGAACACACTGAAGACTTTCAGCGAGACGAAGTGGTGATGGTGGATGCGCAAGGGACGACCGGGGCGATGCGATTGGGTTTCGGGTGGGATGGGGTGTCGAGGGATCAGCTGTCCGCTCTGAAACAGAGCCCCGTTGTCAGTGCTGCCGGGGCCTGGCAAAGGACCCCGAAGGCGGCAGGGGTGGTCATGACGGAGGCGCGCGTGCCGAGGCAACTTCCGACGGTGGCGGGCCAGGGTCAGCCACTCCCCTTGCAACAGGCGGGGGCTTCAAGGGGAGGGAAAACACAGTCTGCGCAAAAGGGTGATGCGACGGCAAGCGGCACTCGGACGACGGCGGTGGATCATAGCACTAGAAGCGGACTCGACGAAGGTGTGGCCGAGGAGAGGGTTGACGACGTCCGCCGTGACGAAGGAATAAGAAATGGAAAGCGGGAGGGCGATGACGACGACGACCGTCCACTTGTGACGAGGTTGAAGGGAGCGCCAAAGGAGGATGGTGTGGAGGAGAGGTCCAAGTTGTGGATTGATTGCGACTCTTTCTGGGTTCAGGGCCCGGGGAAACCCTTGAGGGAGGCGGTCGGCGAGTGCGCGGACTACTTCATGGCCATCGCCAGCGGAGACGCAGGAGCTGAGCCGCCTGCGATGCTCATATTGCCGCCGAATGACGTTCCGCGCTTCAAGATCGACGACCGTGCGCAGAGTGAACCAGCTCTGCGCAGAGCGTGTAGCATGGAAAAAATGGTGTTGCGCGCCATCCACGACTAGATCTTCAAATCGTCGTCGAGGTCGGCTGGCTTCGCTTGTGCAGAGTCATACATCAGCGTCGACATTGCTACAGGCATTGCACGAGTAGTTTGCCAGGGACACAAATGGTCAAATGTGGTTTCCCCTGCACTCGTCTACCACACGTTGGCGATGAAGATGGATGTGCCTCTATGGTTCGCGGGGGTGAAGATTGTGGATCGGCCTGAAGACGACGACATGGCGGCGCGGCAGGAGGTGACAGTTCTTCGCGTCGCGGATTGCTGGACAGATGCACTGTGGTGTGGACAATGGGCGGACGGCGGCCGCGTCAAACAGGAGAGGTTGTCTCGGCTTGCGGATTGTCTTCGAGCATTGTTGAGCGCGTGCATGTGGATCATGTGCATGGGTGGTGGCGACGACCGTTCGCACAACGAGGCGTGCTTGTACGCGTTCATGGTCGCCAAACCCAGGCGACACATCTTCGACAGCGCCAACCTCGTCTTGGATCGTATAGGGAAGGCACACCTCATGCTGGGAGATTACCCGCATTGTATTCTGGAATGGTGTGATTGCGGGTTGGTGTTCGGGCACAACGCGGCCCTGAAGAATGCAGCGGAAGCCGCGAAACACGGTTGGATCGGCAGCGGGCCCGCGGCGGAGGAAGACGGAGATGAGGGCAGTTGACACGTCGGTTCATCCATAACGCAGTGGCGGGGTGTGGATCGTCGATTGATTGGCACGTGGGATCGTGAAACGACGAACGCAGCGCCTTCAACTGCAGACGGGGCAGCACGGGCGGGATGGGTGTCGGCGGGTGTTGGTGGTTGACCGGAGGGAGCGTGAGGTGGGCAGTCCTGCGCAGCTTCGGCGGCGTGTCCACGTCAGCAAATGTCGTGCCGACGTGAGCAGATGTCGTTGCGGTGCATGTGTTGTGAACGAAGTTTTCCTTTTTTTTATTCTGTAATGTTTAGGTGTGTTTGGAGCTCACTTTGTACATTTGCTCCGCAATAGGGTTTCTTGGCTCCGTGGATGACACCGCCGAAATGTACGTGGATGGCAGGAGCAGTCCGTGTGTTGTGCGGGACGCTTGAAGGGTTGAAAGTCAGGAGCAACGAAAAATCACCAGGGAGGGGAAATTGCTTTGTTGTTCAATGAATGATCTCAAATTTATGTTTGTGTTTCGATGGCGTGTGTTTGCATGCTTAAGATTGCGTATGCAGGCATGCTTTTGTTGTCTTCTGTGTGGTTTTATCATGTGACACACGCGTTAATGGCCATCGCATTCCCGTCCACGTCTTCTTATGTATGCGGTCCTTCATTCGATCTTCGTTATCGCGGCATCGTTATCATCGTCGGCACCTGAGAAAACAAAACATAAGAAGAAAAAGAGGCAGCGACCTATACACGCACTTTCATTGTCATCTTTTTGTTCTTGGTGCCCGTGTTTCCGTTCCTGATGCCATCGCGAAATCCTGATTATCGCGCGCAGCGGGAGGAAGCGAATTTTTTTTTTATATATCAAACTATTAAAACGAAGGTAAAAAAAACACTCAGCATTCTTTAAACTATTAAGAGGAAGAGAAAAACATCCTGATGTAATCTGTCGTGAGTTCTTCTTTCTTTTCTTTGTCGATGCATGTGAGTCGTTAGTGCAACAACGAAGCTTTTCATAGTGCATTTAACAAACGCAGAGAAGCGCARACGACATGCACAACAGACGTTCCATGTAGTAAAAACACAAACATRTTCCCTCGAAAGAAGAATAGCAGTCGGACGCACCAAAACGTCCATACACAAACATCATGAAAAACACTCAGCGTTCAAGTTCAATGAAAAAAGTGCTCTAAAGCGCATGCGAAACAGCGGGCTGGAAAACCTCTTCGTGCCAGCCCTCACCTCCCGCTCTCCTCCTCCYCGCCTCCCGCCCCCCCGTGTTTCCGTTCCTGATGCCATCGCGAAATCCTGATGATCGCCCGCAGCGGAAGGAAGCAAATTTTTTTTTTTATATATCAAACTATTAAAAGGAAGGTCAAAAAAACACTCAACATTCTTCAAACTATTAAAAGGAAGAGAAAAACATCCTGATGTCATTTGTCGTGAGTTCTTCTTTCTTTTCTTTGTCGATGCATGTGAGTCGTTAGTGCAACAACGAAGTTTTTCAGAGTGCATTTAACAAACGCAGAGAAGCGCAGACGACATGCACAACAGACATTACATGTAGTAAAAACACAAACATGTTCCCTCGAAAGAAGAATAGCAGTCGGACGCACCAAAACGTCCATACACAAACATCATGAA